GGAGTTTAGGGCTGTTGTACATAAGGTCGCTATGAGTCGCAAGCGACTCGAGGGCACATAACAACAACAGTCTTTTCCATTATTTCTCCATTAATTTTCTTTCTCTTTTAGGATTCCAGTTATAAGTCTTTTAAGTCATTTGGTATTTTCCATAGCTTTTGGATTTTTCTTCCTCCCCCTCCTCTTTCCCTATTTTATGTTATGTTTGTGATAATCCTATTCTACTCAACTTTGTTGCCTTTACTCTGGAACCATTTCAAATGACTCTTCAACTTTGTTACCATGTTTTCCTTTGTCTTTTGACCCGTGGGTCTTTGTGATGTTTTGTTTTTCTTCTTCTCTGTGGGCTGTAATTTGTAATAGAAAGACAGTTATTTTGTATAGACAGTAGAGGCCTAGCTAAATAGCTTTTATGCCTGGTTAAACCTTTAGCATGTGTTATTGAGTCATCCAGTCTGTAGTTGAACTGTATTTCTATCTTATTGTTACTGTATTTACCCTCAGTCTTGCTTTAGATTTGGAACCAACTCAGGTGACCCTCACTTAGCAGGTTTTCGGAGGCTATAAATCACATGGGAGGGGATTGCCCATCTGTACAGAGTGCACTTCAGACTACAAATTCCAATATATGGTTACCATTTTCCTAGGGATCTTGCTGGAAAATTTTTCTCAAATATCACCAGCACTCTCAACTTTTGATATTATTCCTCCCTTTGTTACAGTGCCTCAATTCTTTCTCCATGTTCTGCTCCTCTGCTATTTCACTACCAGCACAGAGAAGGTCTGAAGAGGATCTGCTGGACATTAGGCATTCTGTTATCCTGTTTCTCCGTCAATTTTAGGCAGGCTGTGCTTCTGGATCTTGTGATCCCACCTTTCCCCCACCATTTGGGTACTTATATAAGTCTAGCTCTGGTGGCCTAGTACCTGGGAAGGTGTGCTGTTTACCTGAAGCCAGCACCTTTCTCCAAAAATCCACTGAAGGGCCAGCTGGGAGTCAGTTCTGACTCTGCTGCCATGAGTTTGAAATTTTTCAAGGGACCTTTTTATCTTCCTGAGATAGTTTTTGCCAGTTTCCTTCTCCCAATAGAGTGATAACTAAAAACAGTTATTTGACAAAATGTGCTTTTGTATGTATATTGGGGATTTTTTGTGAGGAAAAATTTGTATTTATAATTAGCCAGCTGGACTCAGTTTAAATCATCTCAATTTTGTTGGCAACATCCAAAGCATCATAGTCAAGAGCAAGTTGAATATAGGCATTCTTCTCTCCATCAGGCCTAATCAAAATGTTGACCTTAGCCATTTATTGAGCTATTGAATAAAACTTTATTCTCTTGGACCTTGATAAGAATGCTAAAAGTAAAAATTAAAAAAAAAAATTCTGCTTTACAAGTCAGTGATGAATGTTTTATGTGTATTCTTGGCTGAGTACATTAACAGGATGCAAATGCAGGGCAAAACGTAGCATCATTTCACTGACATTCACCAGGGCCTGGTCTGCAAATGGAAATAAAATTTATTAAAGGTGATCAATCCCAAATTTCTCAATTGTGATCTTTTCATGAGACTGACTTTATCACTTTCCCATAGGTGATTTACTGTTCTTTTGGTGGAACATCCAAAGGGCTACACTTCAATAACTTAATAGTTGGACTTGTCCTTCTTACAAGAGGCAAAGATGAAGAAAAAGCAAAATGTAAGTACTTTTGTTATCTCCAGATGATAAGACCATAGCTGTTAGCAAAACACTTTGCCATCAAGTTCTAATGACAGGCAAAGAATTTGAATATTTCTTTCTCCAAGAAAATATACAGTTGAAAAAAAAATATTCAACATAGTTATTCAGGAAATGCATTGAAACTGCATTGATAGATACCACTTCACATTCACTGTTGTTAGGTGGCATCTAATCAAGTACAACTTATAGCAACGCCATGAACAACAGATCTGAACCCTGTCCCATCCTGTGCCATTCTCACACTTTCTGACACACTTAAGCCCATGGTTGCAGATACTGTGTCAGTCCATCTGGTTGTGAATCTTCCTCTCTTTTGTCAACCCTCTACCTTTCCAAGCAATAAATTAGGATGGCTAAAATAAAACAGATACTAAAAACTAATTGCCCTGGGAAATCTGCTGTCAGGGACCTCTCCAGAGTGCTGAGAAGCAGGGATGTCAATCTAAAGACTAAAGTACACCTTACCCAGGCCATGGTCTTCACAATTACTTGTATGCATCAGAGAGCTTGACAGTGACTACATATGACAAAAGAAGAATCCATGCCTTTGTGTTGTGGTGTGGAGAAGAGTATTGAACATACTCTGAATTAAGAAAACAAATAGGTGTCTTGGAGAGGGTGAAACTAAGTTTCTCCTTGGAGGCTAGGATTTTGAAGCTTCGTCTCACATACTTTGGGCATTTGGCCAGGAGGGACCAGTCTTTGGAGACTGGAAGAGAGGAGGAACAGTGCAGGAGAGGAAGACTCCAGATAAGATGGATTGATACCATAACTGGGGCAGTGGGGTAGGTGTGTCAGACTCAATGAGACAGGCTCAGGATACGGCAGGGGTCAGAGCTGTTATAATTAGGGTCGCTATGAATTGCTGGTGACTTGATGGCACCTAACAACAACAAGTGTTGGAGACAATGTACAGAAATTTAAACCCTCAAATCACTGGTGATATTGGAAGATGGTACAGGTACATGGAATAAAAACAGTTTGGCAGTTCCTCAAAAGTTACCTTGTATGTGGCCACTAATTCTACTCCTAGATATAGACCAAAAAAAATAAGACAATAGATATTCACACACAAATGCGTACACAAGTGCTCATTGCAGTTTTGTTCATAGTAGTTTAAAAAAAATGCAAATAGCTCAAATATATCTTTACTAATGAATCATTAAACAAAATATGCTATAACCATACAGTGGAGTACTATTCAACAGAAAACGGATTGACATGTTTATACATAATAAAACAAGGGTATATGCTAAAATGTTTTGCCAAAAGACAGGATATGAACAGACACTTCACCAAAGAAGACATTCAGATGGCCAACAAGCACATGAAGAAATGTTCAAAATCCCTAGCTCTAAGAGAGAAGCAAATCAAGACAACTATGAGATATCAGCTAACCCCAGTAAGACTAGCAAAATTTAACAGAATAGCAAGCAACAAATGCTGGCAAGGTTGTGGAGAGACTGGAACCCTTATTCACTGTTGGTATGAGTGCAAAATGGTGCCACTGTGGAAAGCGGTGTGGCACTTTCTCAAAAAGTTGCAAATAGAGACACCATTTGACTCAGCAATTCCAGTACTGGGAATATACCCTAATGAGACCATAACCGACATCCAAGCAGATATATGCACACCCATGTTTATTGCAGCTTTGTTCACAATAGCAAGGAGTTGGAAACAACCTAAGTGTCCATCAACAAAGGAATGGATAGAGAAGCTGTGGTATATTCACACAATGTAATACTACTGTTCTGCATTGAAAAACAAGGAACTCATGCAATTTTATTCAAAATGGGTGACCCTGGAAAAACATTATGCTGAGTAAAATATCTCAGTCACAAAAAGACAAATACTTTGGTATTTGTGGTATGGTGCCACTGTTGTAGAATGAGGGTGACATCAGGGTGGGGGTAAGACTGAAGAGATCCAGGCATACAAAATAGGTCAAAACACTGTGAGAGGACATAATTAATTATAGATTGATATGATTTACATAAGTAGTTTGACCTTTTAAATATAATAAATACTATGTTACGGGGAAAATGAGAAAAAAAAATACATTGGATATATTTTAGTAAATGCTATTTTTTTTTTGAAAAAATGTTATGCCAAATGAGAGAAACTATCAAAAAACCCCATAGATTTTATAATTTATTTATATGAAATATCAAAAATAGATCCAGGCAGAGAGACTGAAAATAGGCTAGTTGTTGCCAGTAGATTCAGAAAGATAAAACAGATTGAAGAGATAGAAATGAAGACTGACTGCTGTTAGATACGACTTCTAGGGTTGATGGAAGGGTTCAGAAATTAAAATGTAGTGGTGCTTCACAACTCAGTGACTACTCAAAACTCCTAAATTTTAAACTTCAAAATTGTTATTAAATACAGTATGATATTTTGCTCCAATATTGTGTACATTTATATTCTGGGCCATTAAGTGCTAATTTCTCCCACCCCATTCTTACATATCCTCTGACTGCTTCTCTGCTTCTTCGTCTTCTTTTTTTCCCCTTAGATTTTATTGTAAGTTTATAAAGAACTTGGAATTCCATTCATTCATTGTTACACATTTTCCTCCCTGTTCCCCTCCCCCATTTCACTTTTTTCTTGGGCGAAAAAGTTCATTGATTTTTATACAGTCGTGTCCCCCCAGTCCACCTTACTATGGAGCTCTTATTGTCATGTCAGTAATACCTAATTATATATTCCTTTTATACAGTTCTCTCCCTCATCTGTTTCAGTGTGATGTGCATTATTTATCCCCTTTTTTCTTAGTTTCCTCCTAACCCTCCTGTCAGTCCTGTTTTATAACAATGGCATTATGCAGTATTTGTCTTTTTGTGACCGAGATCTTTCACTCAGCATAATGTCCTCCAAGGTCACCCATTTTGTAAAATATATCATGAGTTCTTTGTGTTTCAGTGCTGCATAATTTTCCATTGTGTGAATATATCACAGCTTCTCTATCCATTTGTTGATGAGCGCTTGGGTTGTTTTCAACTCTTTGCTGTTGTGAAAAAAGCAGCAGTAAACATGAATGTACATATATCTACCTGGGTGGCAGTTCTGGTTTCTTTAGGGTATATTCCCAGTAGTGGAATTGTTGGGTCAAATGGTATTTCTATTTCCAGCTATTTGAGAAAGCACCCTGCTGCCTTCCAGAGTGGTTGTACCATTTTACAGTCCCACCAGCAGTGAATAAGGGTTCAGTTTCTCCACAAACTTGCCAGCATTTGGTTTTTGTTGCTGTGTTGAATTCTGCTATTCTTACTGAGGTGAGATGATACCTCATTGTTGTCTTGCTCACTGCTTCTTAATCTTTTAGAAATTCTCCTTTAAGCAAGTCTATTTTAAAAATTTTTTTTTGTCAAGGTTTTTCTGAACTGTTTATAATTGATCTAAGACAAGATGTAAATATATACATGAGCCAAAACATGTAAAACTGTATACTTTATACCTTCTTTTAGATCCATTATAAACAGTTAGATATCATCAAATCAGCTCCTCCTCATTGAAGCAGTTCTGTGTACAACAGAGCAAAGCACCACTTGGTCCTGCAAGATCCTCATACCCAATTACCATTCATCTAATAACACAGATAAACCCTAGCTACAGGCAGTAGTAATTCAAACTGAAATTTCTTGTCGAAGACTAATGTTTATTTGTAGAGATTATTCGTTTTTATTAAACAATATTTAATGGCTCTATAGTTTGTAGGGAGTTGCACTGCTGATCTAATGGCTACACTTCTCTAGTGGTTTGGATCCACTAATGACCCTGAGGGAGGAAAGCAGGCATTCTCCTTCGCTGTTTACAACCTTGAAATACCAGTGGAGGGTCTATTAGGAGTTGGTGGCATGTGCGTGTTGACTCTACTCACTTTTTTATTACATAAGAAACACCATTATTTGTCCGGATCTTGTTTTTTTTAGAAATGTGATATTATAGCTAAGTTAGTCACTGTTATGGATTTGGTCACCTTTCATTCCTCAGGCAGATTTCTGTATCATGACATGTTTGTGGTATCTTTAAACATATCTTCAGTTTTGTAGATGTAACACTTTTTAATAACTGGTATCGTATTTCTAGATGATTTTTATATTATATAACCTATTTTGCAGGTTTTTCCCCTCCCTGAATAGTAGTTTTTAATATTTATCCATCATGATAGACCTAGCTGAAAGTTATTTTTTTTTATTACAAATATTTCACTGTGTGTACATACCTCATTTGACCAGTTTTTCTTGTGAATGAATATATAACTTTCCCTCCTAAAATTGCTATTAGAAATAGTGCTCCATTGAGCATCTTTGTGCTTTGTATCCATGTGTGAAAGTTTCTGAAGGATGAATTGGAGTTGCTGTGTCTTCATTTTATTTTATCTTGGTTAGTTGTTCTCGGAATTGTTTGCATTAATTTTTACTCCCATTAACAGTGTACAAAAATTAATGCTCTATGTCGTTGCAACAAAGGGTTCTCTATGTTTGCAACACTTGGTATTATACCTTAATATTTTTGTTAAGTCTGATGTGTTTGAAGAGATACTGCACTGTTTTATTTGCATTATCAGGCTATTTCAACGAATAAATGAAATTACATGTTTAAAGCACTAGTAATTATACATTAATTGTTACCTTCTTGATTCTTTCCTACTTCTCTTGGGATAATTTAAACTTTAGTAAAATGCATTTATTCTGTCTCTCTCTCTCTCTCCTAGACATTTTTAGTCTATTTTCAAGTGAATCTGGGAGCTATGTTGTTCGCGAAGAAATGGAAAGAATGCTCCATGTGGTGGATGGTAAAGTTCCAGATGCACTCAGGAAGTGTTTCTCAGAGGTATATTTAAAACTTTATGTTTCATTCCTTTTTATGATTAAGAACCTTAGTTGCTGTGAAGGTAGATAGTTATTTATGTATAGCCTAATCTTGAGCATTTTTCTCTTCAGTATTTGTGTTTTCAACTGTCTATGTGCTGTGTCCAGAGACCTACTCATTCTCATTACTGTTATATTTGTCAATCTGAAAAATTTCTGTTCAGCTGTAAAGGTATTTATGGTCTAATGAAACATTCTCAAACTCTCAACAGACACACCCCTGCTTGTAACTTCAGAATGTTTTTTAAAGCATTGCACTGTCATATTTCAGTTTAGAAACAAAAGCACCTGCTTTTAACTGCAGTGTATTCTCTAAAGTATTATCATGCCAGTTATCCAGATACTAAACCTTCTATTCTTCAGTGCCTTCAGATTCTATCTTCAAAATATCTTCTAAGGCTTGAGAGATTTTGGGGACTTAAAGGTCACAGTGGTGTTGATGTTAGATGCCAACGGTTGAGTCAACTACAACTTATAGTGACCCTATGAATAACAAATCTGAACCTTGCCCTGTCCTTTGCCATCCTCATAATACCTGATATATTTGATCTCATTGTTACAGTCACTGTGATAATCCATCTTGCTGAAAGTGTTCCTGTCTTTTCTCTGACCCTCCTCCTTTCCCACCTTGATCTCTTTTTCCAAGGACTGGCCCCTTCTGAGAACATGCATGCCCACAGTATATGAGACAGTTTTGTCACCCTTGCCACTGAAGATTTCCCTGGTTTCAAAACAAACTTGTTTGTTCTTTTAACAATCCATGGGATGATCAGAACTCTTCTCCAAAACCACAGTTCAAAAATTAGATGTTTTAATTAATGCTTTTTCTAAGTTTGAAATGTTTTTTTGACATCAATTTTTTAAAATTACATCCTGTTAGCCTCAAATTATGAGTTTGTATTCCTTAAATGCACAGAACAATTGGGCTAAACATATTGTTTGATTAACATTATGAACCAACAATGTGAATAGTATTCAAAAGAGGAAAAAATGATATGCATAGTTGATTGTTGTTGTTACGTGCCATTGAGTCGCTTGCAACTCATAGCAACCCTGTGTACGAGAGCCCTAAATGCTGTTCTATCCTGTGCCAACCTCGCCATCTTAAACACACTGATTCCCACCACCCCAGTCACAGAATCAAACCATCTCATCGAGGGTCTTCCTCTTCTGCGCCGTCCCTCCACTCTCCCAAACATGATGTCTCTCTCCAAGGACCAGTCCCTCCTTGCAACATGCCCAAAGTATGTCAGACGAAGCTTCAGAATCCTTGACTCTAAGGAGCATTCTGGCTTCACCTTCTCCAGGACAAACCTGTTTGTTCTCCTAGTAGTCCATGGTATATTCAATATTCTTCTCCAGCACCACAGCTCAAGGCATCAATTCTCTTTCTATCATCCCTATTCACGGTCCAACTCTCCGATGCATAGCACATAATTACAAAGACTATAGCCCGGATCAGGCGCACCTTAGTCTCCAGCCTGACATCATTGCTCTTCAGTACTATTGGGAGGTCCCTCACAGCTGACTTTCCCAGTGCAATTCGTCTTCTTATTTCCTGGCTGCTGTTACCAAGAGTGTTGACTGTGGAATCAAGTAAAACTAAAACTGTTAACTATCTCAATCTCTAAACCATCCATTCTGATGCTGCCAATTGGCACAGTGGTAAGAATCTTTGTTTTCTTGATATTGAGCTTCAATCCATATTGAAGGCTGCAGTCCTTGACCTTCTGCATAAATGATAGATGACTTTATTTTAAAATAGATTTCTTTAATTAGAAGTAAGAAGACTGCTTCTTTTCCGATCAGCCATCCGTGGTGGGCCCACCGGCAAGATGCAGATTTTCGTAAAAACCCTCACGGGGAAGACCATCACGCTCGAGGTTGAACCCTCGGACACAATCGAGAATGTCAAGGCCAAGATCCAGGACAAGGAAGGAATTCCTCCTGATCAGCAGAGACTCATCTTTGCTGGAAAACAGCTGGAAGATGGGCGGACCCTGTCTGACTACAACATCCAGAAGGAGTCCACTCTTCACCTTGTATTGAGACTTCATGGTGGTGCTAAGAAAAGGAAGAAGTCGTCTTACACCACTCCCAAGAAGAATAAGCATAAGAGAAAGAAGGTTAAGCTGGCTGTTTTGAAATACTACAAGGTGGATGAGAATGGCAAAATTAGTCGCCTTCGTCGGGAGTGTCCTTCAGATGAATGCGGTGCTGGAGTCTTCATGGCCAGCCACTTTGACAGACACTACTGTGGCAAGTGCTGTCTGACTTACTGCTTCAACAAACCAGAGGACAAATAATTATGAGTTAATAAAAGACAGTGAATTAACATTTAAAAAAAAAAAAGAAGTAAGAAGATTGCAATTTAACATACATCTGTGGGGTTATTTCTTTTTATATATATATTTTTTTTAAACTGTATGCAAAACTTCTGCATCAGTACAGTGGTCTCATTATAGTAATTTTTTCTTTCTGGACACAAAAACAACATACAAAAAAAGAAATTTAAAAAGTCAGGTAATACCTTGTCATATGCATTAATAGCCGGCTTCTAATTTAATTTACAGACTTTCTTGTATATTCTTTTAAATGGTGGTTGAATACTCAATGCTTTTTACTCCCTACTTTTTAATTTTTAACTTTTTATTATGATTTGCATGAAACTTATAGAGCAAGTTATTTTACCATTATAGAGCAAAATATTTCACTGTATAACAGTTCAGACTCATTTTGGTTTGTAAAATTTATTGCAGTGCCCACAATGTAATCACACTCTTCTCACTTCCTCCCTCTGTAGCCCATTTTCATTTGTCCCTCTGTGCTCTTCCTTTCTGACTTTTGGCTTTATTCCTGGACAGATACTATCCTTTTTCTCTTAGGTGGTTGGCTGCACCAGAGAGTGTGTTTCTACATGGTCGTATTGATCACTCTGTAGGTTCATTTATTGTTTGACTGAAAGTTAAGCCATAAGAAGGGTGAGTGAGTTCAGTTCTAGGTCTGAAGGGTGATTAAGGGCCCTAGTCTCAGGGATTCTGCCAATTCCTGTTAGACCAGTAAATCATGCCTTTCTTTTTTCTTTTTTAGTTCTATGTCACATTTTTCTCCCACTATCTCCAGGACGTCCCATTGCAGTCCTTTTTAAGGCAGACATCTGTGTATTAGCAGACTAAGCACTATATAGTTCTTCTGGTCTCAAGGTTGAGGAAGGGATGGTTTACATTGTCCATTATTCCATTAAAGTTATTATTTAACTATGTTGATGGTTTTAATAACTTTTCGGAGAGCAGTTGATAGAAGAGTATGTTGCCTTTCACCTCCTGCTTTTATCTCCGAGCATTATAAATTCATAAATACTGGTTTAAAAATGTCACCACCTAACAAAAAGAAATGTTCTTTTTTGCTACTTTTGTTATTTTTGTTGTCCACTGTTGAGTTGGAACCAATGTATAGCTGACCCTCCTGTGGGTTTTTAGATGCTGTAAATCGCACAGAAGGAAACTGCCCATCTTTATCCCTTGAACGGCTAATAGATTTGAACCGTTTGTCTTTGGTTTGGCAGCACAGAACTCCTTATTTATTAGGTCACCAATGCACCCTTTATTACTTTTAATTCTTTGTAAAGTGTATGTCTTTCTTAAAGTATCAAATACTATGGTAATAGATTAATTAAGCTATCATTGTATATGGCTATACTTTTTTTTCTTGGTAGATTTTTTTAAAATAAAGTTCTTAATTTATTCTGATTTACTTACAAAGTTCATATACATTGTTTTTCACACCGAATCTTTCCCGTTTCCTTTACGCATCCTTCCCCCACCCATAAAATTGTATGACCCGATGATTAACCCCCTATACATTTTCTTTTAACAACTGTTTATTTGTGTGACATAATAGTTCATTTGTGTGACATAATAGTTCTTGCTTGTTTTCTTTGCAGTACAATAGAGGCATTTTATGATAAAGATGTTAACTAAGGTATGAAAATGTTGTAAAACTCATTGCCTGAGAGTTAATTTTGACTCCTAGTGAACTTTTAGGACAGAGTGAGTAGACTGCTCCATAAGGTTTCCAAGTTTGTATTTTTTGTGGAAGCTGAATGCCACATATTTTCCTTGCAGAGCAGCCAGTGGGTTTGCACAACCAACTTTTGACTAGTAGCTCAGTGCTTAGCCATTACAGTTCATTTTGATTCAACTCTTTGCTGAAAACTTGCATTTCTATGCCAAAACTAAATCCACTGCCATCTAGTTGATTCTGAGTCACAAACAACCCTCCAAACAGAACAGAACTACCCCATAGGTTTGCCAAGGCTGTAGATCTTTACAGTAGAGACTACCTTAGCTTTTTCCCTCTGAAGGGCTGATGGGTTCAAACAACAACCTTTCAGGTAGCAGTCAAATGTTTTAATCAGTCTATCACTAGAGCTTCTTATTTCTATCCCAGATAAACTGAAATTATGATGTACTCCCCTGTGCATAAGTGTCCCCTTGGGATCTTGTTAAACTCTAAATTTAACATAAAAATGAAAAAGCACAGAAATAGCCAATTGTGAATTAAAAAGAAGAAAATTTAAAGACTTCTATAAAATGATTTCAAGATTTACTAAAGATCTGTAAGTAATCAAGACACTGAATATTTAGGAGAGAATCAGCCCAGAAATAGACTCAAGCATGGAAGGTCAATTGAACTTTCTATAAAGGTTCCAAATGTTATTCAGTGAGAAAGTATAGTCTTTTCTACAGGTAAAACGGTAGAGCATGTATATGCAGAAGAATGACTTAAATCACATATGAAAGTTAATTGAAAATGTATCACAGACTTATATTTAAAACCAACTACTATAAAGTTTAGAAAGTTAGATCTTTGGATTTAGCCAAGATTTCTTATTACTTAGCATGAACTATTAAATTTAAAAATACATATATTGGATGTTATAAAAATCTAGTGGTTTGTGGTGCTGTTAGGCCTAAGAGGTGCTGTTAGGCCTAAAACATGCAGTTTGAATCCAGCAGCTGCTCTGCAGGAGAAGGATGGGCACTTTTCTCCACAGAGATTCACTGACTGAAAACTTACTTAAGGATCAGCTCTGAGGGGTTTATTTTTCCCTCCATCAAAACAATTTATAGATTATGAAGCTACACAGTGCCTCTAAAAAGCAAACAAATTTTTCTTACAGTCTGTCAGTGTTGAGGGGATAAGAACCTGTTTTGTTCTCAATTTGAAAAGAACAAAAGTGATAAACTCTGAGTTTTACAAAAACCATAATTTCAGAACCATTTGGAATAAGGTAATTTTCCACACCCCTAGTCTGATCTTCCTAGCAGAGACCACAGTAAAACTCTCTGGTACATGATAATATCTGGAGGCTCTGAAGTTTGATATTTTGTTTCATTCTTTAAACAAAGTTCAGTGTTCAGTCAAAAATATTAGTAGGAATATGAAATAGCATACAGCTATAAAGGTAAACATTTAGAAGCAGATCCATAGGTGATCTAGCAATAAACTGAAGCAGTGCGCAGGTTATGAGTGATTGCTTTTTATCAGAGATCTCTAAGTATTTCTCTTACTGTCTTTGACGTGTTTTGTGACCTCCACGTGCCACAAGACCTACTGTTTCATTTATTTTGTTTTGTTGATTTTCATAGCGATGTTTGGCTTTAAAATTTTGATATTTAAAAGGGGAGGAAAAAAACTTATCTCAGTGTCAGAGATACAGGCCTGTCTCCTTTTACTGTGCTTCATAGACCTTGCTTTTTTTACAAATTGGAGGTTTATTGCAACCTTGCAAGTCTTTTGGAGCCATTTTTCAAATAGTATGTACTTACTTCATGCCTCTGTTACACTTTAGTAGTTCTTTTTTGTTTGTTTGCTTGTTTGTGGGTTTTATTTCTTGCAATTAATTTTTTTTTAAATTTTACACTGATTTACCTACAAAGTTTGTATACATTGCCCCTCACAGTGGATCCCCCCCACCTCCCCAACTCACCTCCCTTGTGACCCATCAAACTGTGAGACCCCATGATTACTCCCTATCCCCACCCCTACTTTTGAAATTCTTGAAATAGTTTAAACTTTTTCATATTACTGCATACTAAATAAACTACTCTATAAAGTAAACATAACTGTCTTATACACAAGAAACGAAATAATTTATTTGACCCACTTTATTGGCCTACTGCTGTTATCATGGTTGTTTGGAACTGAACCTTCAGTATCTCTGAGATATGCTTGTATATTATTAATCCTCTTTCTAGACTAAATATGGGATAAAGTTGAATATATGATCCTTAATCTTTAAACATATTGAAAATGATGCACACTTTTTCTATAGCAGATCTGAAAACCCTACTTTTCCATTGAGGAAAAATAAGACTGTCAGCAAATTTTATCTTAGTTGTTTTGATTACACTGGTAATAAATTTCTGAAACAATCAGGCTAAGCTTAATACTTGTACTAAATAATTAATACCAAGCCATGTATTTATAGCAATTGTTCAAGATATTTTTAATATTTTGCTACTGTCCCTTATTATGCTTTTAAATTATTGGTTATTTAGATTCTCTACTATTTCTATTCCTGTCGTGGAATTTCTAGTCTCCTGAATACCATTCTTCATTGTATTTCCTTATAGATTGAGTCTTTTTTTTTTTTCATTGAAATATCTAGTCCTTATTCATCCTAGGATCTTTGTCTGCCAGGCAAAGTGATTGACTTTTCCCAGCCATCTATGTAATATTTTTTTCAGCCTGATTACCTTTGTTTTCCTAGACTTAGTAAGACACAGACTTAGAAAGAAATTAAAAACCAGACGTCTACTTGCTTATTTTGGTGCCTAGTTGTTCTGTGAGTATGTGCTTTCAGTGATACCTTGAGACAACTTGATTTTTTTTATTTAAAAAGTTTAATTTACCAATGTGAAAGAACGTTATAGACCCAGATGAAATTTGATTACCATACGCTAATTAACAAGACAGATTTTGGGGTTGTAAGAAAGAGGAATATAATCTATGAAAACTGGATTATTTCAGTATTTGAAGAAATGGAGTTTATTGATTTCAGAATCTGACTTAATACAGTGTGGCTGATGAATGGGAATGGACAACTTTAATGAACTGATTAAATAGTTTGCATTTAGGTTATGGATTTTATATAAATCAGAGTTCTGTAGTACAATTGTTCTTGAAAACGGTTTGGTTTCCAAGTATACAACATATAGTGTTATTTAGAAAATCTAGGAAACAGAAGAGTTAATGTTAATATTTCAAGTTCTTCAGATTCCAAGTAAGGTACCATGAAATTGACTAAACTTGCCTATTCTTATTTTTTTAAATTTTAGGGTGAAAAGGTTAACTATGAAAAGTTTAGAAATTGGCTTCTCCTAAATAAGGATGCTTTTACCTTCTCTCGTTGGCTGCTATCTGGAGGGGTGTATGTCACCCTCACTGATGATAGTGATACACCCACTTTCTACCAAACTCTGGCTGGAGTCACACACTGTAAGTAATTAATTTTTTTTCCTGCATACTTTTTAATGCAATTGCCTATTAATAAAGAATTTTGTCTATAAACCTCCCAAAGCATAAAATAAAAGTTAAGCATGAAATACACAGAAAACCACACCAGTTTATCATTGTGTTGTTTCCAATTTATGACCTCTCCATCTGTGTCAAACTACTCCTTAGCACTGTTCAGTGGCTGACTTTTCAGAACCTAACTTTTTTCCCTATGTACTTCTGGGTGGACTCAACCCTCCGACCTTTCAGTTAATAGCTATGCACATTAATTGTTTGTATTCCTAGCAGTTCTGTGGAATATGTGTTCATACTACTGAGTTGATTTCAACTCATATGGACCCTTTCTGATTGAGCAGAACTTCCCTGTAAGATTTCCTAGGCTGTCGTTTTAAGTAAACAGGTTCTTATATAAACACCTTTTTCTCCCACAGAGTAGCTGATATGCTCAAATTGATGACCTTTGGTTAAGCTGCTGAGCACTTAATCATTGACCCCCTAAGGCTCTTAGTTGAATACATTGTCATTGTTATATGCAATTTAGTCACCTTAACTCATAGCGACCTTTGTAGATCCTGTGCGGGCTTAAACCCATTGTTGTAGTTACTGTGTCAGATCAGCTTCTCCTCCCTTCAATCTTTACTTTTTCAAGCATGATGTCCTTTGCAATGATGAATCCTCTTGATAACACGCCTAAAATGTGTGAGATGAAGTCTCACCGCCCTTGCCTCTAAAGAGCTAACTGCACTTCTAAGACAGCTTGGTTTTTTTCTTTTGACAGTCCACGGGGTAGTCCATACTTTTCATCAACACAAGTCAAATGTATTAGTTCTTCAGTCTTCCTTATTTGTTGTCCAGCTTTTCCATATATATGAGTGACTGAAAATACAGCTTGAGTCAGTCAGGCCTTAATGTTTGAACTGACATCCTTGCTCTTGAGTACTTTAAAGAGATCCTTGGTAGCAGATTTGCCCAGTGCTGTGTGGCTTTTGAATTCTTTTTTTTTTTTGGCTTTTGAATTCTTGAATGCTGCTTCTATAGGTGTTGATACTGGATCCAAGTAAAATGAAATCTTTTTACATGTTTAATTTTGTCTTCATTTATGATGATATTGCCTATTGGTCTAATTGTGAGGATTTTTTTCTTCTTCTTTATATTGAGCTAGAAATGGAATACATAGCCCTCTAGTAAAAGATTGCCATTTACTCAGCTGTATAACTTTTCTAGGGCTGTTGTAATAAATTCCTATGACCTTGGTGGTATAAAACAACACAAATTTCATCTTTCACTGTTCTGGAGTCTTAATGTCTGAAATCATAGTGTGAGAGGGGTCAGACTTTCTCTGAAGGTCCTAAGGAAGAATCCTTCCTTGACCATTTCTAGCTTCTTTTGGTGCATTGCATCCCATCATGTGTGATGATGTACTTTAAGTCTCTGCTTTCATCTTTCCCTGATCTTTTCCTTTCTGTGACTCTCTGCCCTATTGTCTTGTTAATGTGGATGCCTGTCACTGCATGTAATAAAAAAGAAACTCTACTGTGAAGTTGACTCATAGTGATACTCTTTCGGGCTTCCAAAACTTTAAATCTTTATTGGAGGTTACTACCAATCTTTCTCCTGCAGAAAAAGCTGGTGAATTTGAACTACTGAACTTTTAATTAGTAGCTCAACAAGTAGTGAATTTGCACTGTCCCTCCACCCTTCCAAGCATAATGTCCCCTCCAAGGACTGGTTCCCCCTTGCAACAGCCCAAAGTATGTCAAAGTCTCAGAGTCCTTGCCTCCAAGTACAGCATGGTTTCACCCTCTGTGGAACGAACCTGTTTGTTCTCCTGGCAGTCCATGGTATATTCACTATTATTCTCTAGCACTACAGTTCAAAGGCATCAATTCACTTTTCTGTCATCTCTAGTCATTGTCCAGCTTTCTGACTACAAACTTATTTCAATTTGAACTAGTAGTTTTAAAAATGTCAAAAATCTCTTCTGATGATTGTTTTAATCTTGAAAATTATTTTCTTTTTCCTTTTTTTATCAATTGGAAAGTTTTTCAGATTTTTAATAGTATCTAAATATTAAAACAGCCTTGTTATAAATGATATAAAGCAAATACTAATGTAAATATGCTGTTTCACCTGCAGTAATGGTCTTCAAATATCTTAACTGTGTCTTCTCAGCTTAGATCATCATTCCCCTTAACTTCTGTATAGCATTTTTAGCACTGTTGACCTTTCATTTTCCTCCAGCTTTTGTACTTTGTAGTTTCTTAGTTTTCTTATCATTACTGCTTCCCTTCTTTGGTCTATTGTTGTTGTGGTTATTGTTGTTGAGTACCATTGAGTCAGAACCGACCTGTAGCTGAGGATTGTTTCTCTTTCGGTGGATTCCAATTGCATGTCTTCTGGGTTGCAGTACAACTTCCTACCACTAGGCCACAAGTGCTCCCTCTTGGTCTGCTTCTTTGAAAAAAAAGTAATTTCTTTTACCAAGGTTAGCTCTTAGCTTTATTGTATTCTTTTTTTTTAGTTAGATAATTACTTCCCTCCCCTACTAAAAAGTCTTTGAGGATTCTCCTTGTCCACAGATTGGAGTGTGACTTAATTTTCTCTACCCATTTATTATAACATTTGGCTCCTACAGAGGAGCAGTCAGTCAGTATTCTTGGACTGCACCATGAGTTTTTGTAATTACCCTGATATCACTGCTGCTCGTAATCGTCATTGTTTTATGAATGCATGCCATTTTCAACAGTTGAGGTATTACTGTTCCATGTAGGCCTAGATTAGATGATGTTCTTTTTGTCATGCTCTGTTTGAATAAATTTTCTGTTTGCATCCTGCAACACTGTCTTTCAGTTAAAGCATTTAACATGTGTTTTGTCTTATCTTAGAGTCAGTCCCATGAAAATTAGAAGTCCCTTGAGGATAAAACACATGTCCTGTTCATCTTTGAAATTTTAATAGCACATTGGACTCAGTACATGTTACTTGATTGAACTGAACTGAAAACTTTCAGTCACCAATAATCAACATTGAAGTGCTCTGGTGATGTAGTGTGTAGGGAATTACTCTGCTGGCTCATTGGCCATACCTTTCTGTTGGTTCTAATCCACCAGTGGCTCCTTGGGAAAAAGATGGACAATCTCCTTCTATATGATTTACTGCCTTGGAAACCCACTAGAGCTATGAGTCAGAGGGGCTGCCTTTGAGTTAGCCATGATACCCCTACAGACTGTGCCATCAGCACTTCGTACTATTTGTATAGCTGTGGGCAATTTAAACTTTCTGAACTTTTCCCTCCTCATCTCTTTAAACCAGGGATAATGACAAAACTTGCTTGTATAGGGCTGTGGTAAGAAATAAATGAGATAATACATTTTTTAAAGGACTCAGTCCTATTCCTAGTGTAGAGTATGGGCTTTACAGGGAACATACATACTCTCATATTAGTGACCACTTGGCTTATCTGTTAACAGACTACTCTTTTTTTAGTGGCTTTTACTGTGCAGTGACCAGAGTGTAATTGATTTTGGATCATTAAGTTCGCTGATAAAAAAAGGTAGATTAGTAAAATATTCACTTGCCCAGGATATGGGGGGAAAAGTTTTCTTACTGGATTACTTTTTATTTTACAACTTATAGAAACAAAATATTCAGCAATAAACTAGTATTTTAGACAGTAGAATTGCTACTGGCTAATTTGCTACCTTGTTTTTTGTGTGTTTGTTTTTTTAATTTAAGATCAGAATAGTTTATTTATGAGTTGAGGATTCTAAAATCAGAGATACTTGGGGTTTTAGTTAATAGTGATGTCTGAAAGTGGAACTTTAAAATTTAAAATTTTATTGTGAATCTGGAATCTGTTTTAGATTTTAAAATCTGCCTTTTCAAATGGCAATCTCTATAGCTTTGATGGCTGACTAGTCTGTTTACTCTTAGGACAGTATTCCTTTTCTCTGTACTTTGGCAGGTGAAGAGTATCTAAGGTAAAGAATATCCTCAATGGATCTTTTTCTTTATAGTAAATAAGATATGAGATGAGATAGTTTGTCCTAAAGGTATTGAAATACAGCATTACAGGTATCTTTACAATAGGCATCCAGAAACAGGCATAATTGAGGAAACAATAATAAGTTACCAGAAAAAGCTGTCTGTATTCAGTCTTAGATTACCCTATAGCAAATTGAATCATCTATATCTTTGTCTAATTACATAATCCTACATATGTGTTTAAATACTATAAATTTCACACTTGAGCTAATTGGTTCTAACTCATAGGGATCCTCCATGGTTTGATTTCTGAGTTGTAAATCATGTGAGAGGAGAATGTCCATCTTCCTTCTTTTTTTTTTGCATTTTTCTATTTTTTTATTTTATTATTTTTGTGTGAGTGTATCATCAAATCAGATCTGACTGGTACAGGAGGAGATTGTCCCTTCTTCCCCGGCAGAGCATCTGGTGGATTCGCCATCTTTCTTCTGAGGAGTGGAAGCAGCTATTTTATTGGTGGACATTACTAGGAAAGCACTATCAGAAAAGTTCCTATGGAAATTCTGACATAAACAGGTTTACATTTTCTTTTTTTTTTTCTATAATTATATTTT